AAAATGCTAGGAAATGTCTCTTTCCTATTTATAGCAGCAGAGCAAGTTTTGATGGGTGGCAAAACTACAATATTGAGCTACTTAGGTTTAACAAATGCACATTAGGAAAAATAAAATGCTTGTACTATCCTTGCAAAGTACTTCTAAAGCTGTAATTGCTAGGAGGCCATTTGCACGAGGGAAGCAGCATTGCAGACAATTTACCGTCAAGCTGACTCAGGGCACCCAAGTGAAACAGCACAATTTTAACTACAGCTCATCTATGCTTAGGCATACGTATACATATATTCATAAAAATGGAGCACATCTACTCTTTGCCATCTTGCTACCATCTTGCATTTTCCCCATTCGTTGGTGATTATGGAAACTATGATAAATTGCAGATCTACGTTCTTGGCACCTGACTGACTACTTGAGAAGCTACACCACTTTCCAGGGAAAGAGAGAGAGAAATAAGTAGCCCCTCTACTCACTGACAACAAAGACTTCTGGCAACAAGAAATTCCTGCTATTTATAGAGAAATGTAATCACCGGGTAAAAAACAAATTATTGAAAATTTATGGGGTGATCACACAAGGAAATACACCACTAAATAATCTATCTTTGATGCTACAGTAAATCTGTCATGCCAAAAAGGGGTAACCATTAAGGTGCTTATTCTTCAAAATAGCAATTAGGTGACTATCAGTAAGAAACCATCAGTCAGACTCAGTAGGTGATATCTTACCCATATGACTGTCCAGTTAAAATTATGTTTTATCTTTTTATCTGCAAACATACAATTCCTTCAGCACAGATAATTTCAAGTCAGAAGAATGAAAGAAAGACTGAATATTCTAATTCTGAGTGCTATTTTACAGGACTGAAATTACTTCAGACTAGGCAGACAACCTTAAGGATAGCAAGGTTACCCACAATCAAATATGATTTCTTTGACTATCATTTCTAGGACTTTATGGCATAATAAACTTTCATTATGGGCCCATCATCCCACTTGGGATAAAAATAAAGTGTGCATTCAAGGAACTGACCTGTAGTAAAGAAATCTTTTACAATATGGACTCGTATCAACAGAATTATTTCACATCAATCAAATTGCCAGTATTTCCACGTAACAAAAATGAAAATTTCTTCCAAAAACATAAGTGTTCTGTTCGATTGAGTGATGAAAACAGAAACAAGGACACACTAAGGGTAAAATTAAAGTGTTTTATATTGTTTTATATCATCATAGTTCTTGCGGGCTTTCTGAAACATTAAGTAATATGTTGCTAGTTTCCTTACTCCAGGGCAATGGCTTGATCTTACTAGGTGACAAGTAACTCCTGAATTAGATTAGATGACCTACAAGGTCTCTTCCTCTCTAGGACTGTCAGGTCCACTTTGTTATGTAAATTTGGACAATTTGTAACTTACTTCTGGGAATGTGTTAAATTCAGGAATTTAGGACACAATTTTGCATTAAAGAGATGTTACAAAATTTCTAAATAGCACTCAAACAGCCTGAGGGACTTTATGTTATTTAACAAAAACTCGTATAGTACTTACAATGTACCCAGCCTTGTTCTAAGTGCTTTAAAAATATAAACTCATTTATACAGTATTTTCAGTATACTTAGGAACTAAATTCTTATGAAGCTTAACGAGTACGTGAATTGGCATTTACCAATGAGTTAAAGTGAACAACCACATTCATTTACTCTTTCAAATTAAAATTATTCATTCTAACAATAGGATTACCCCACAATAACATGAATCTGGTTAATCACTTCTCCTTACTTAAATCCTTAGATTGCCTTTAAGACAAAGCCCAAATTCCTCAGCAAATCCTGAAGATGCTGCAGCATCTACTCTCCACCTTCCTGTTTTCTCTCATCTGTCCCTTAAAGCCTAACTATTTGCAGTTAACAAAATGTGGTCCTGACTCCCACACACCTATGTACTTGCCGCCCCTTCAGTTTGATATGGCCACTCCTCCCTTTACTCTAGCCAATTCCTACTCTCAAAACACAGCTCAGACAGCACCTCCCCCTGAGAGCCCACCCTGACTGCTCACCTGTAAAGTACTAGGTCTCCTCTGCTTCCACAGCTCTCTGTGATCATCTCCAGAAAATCACACAGAAAGGCAGAGTGTAACTGCCTGTTCTCTCATCTATCTTCCTACTTGTCTGTAAATTCCCTAAATGCCAGAACTGTGTCTTTTTATCTCTAAATCCCCAGGGTCTTGCACAAAAATTGGTACACAGTAGGAGCTCAAGTAAATAAATGTCTTTAAATAGCAAATCAATAAATGAATATATAAGTTTTGTGAGCTGATAGAAAATCATCCTAATTTTACTTCTGAAGTAGAAAGGAAGTTGAAAAAATATCTATGGGTAGCTACGATGCCATAAATTATATCTATTTGATTACCAAAGAAACAAGAATGGCCAGATACAATTAACTTACATTTTCAGGTCCAATGATAGCTCTGAAGGAAACCAGAAATGCCAAAATGCAGGAAGACTTTTAGTTTCCTAGTTGTAGAAAAAGTTGACATAGGGCAACTAGGTCTTTACAACTCTAACTGCCAGATTCAGTCCTATGGTCAATGGTTTCTATCTATGGTTTAAGGAGCATGGCAAACGGCAACAGCTCTCCAGGTGATCCAGACATCCAACAAGACATACTGTGTGTACCTTATACTGTGCCAGGCACCGAGAGAATTTCTCCTAAAAATTACTTTGATGACAAGACAGTATCTTCACTTTCACGTCCGACTCGAATTAATAATCTATCATGAAGTTTAACCTATATCCTACCAATTCATTCTCACCTCACAGAAGGCCAGAGCCATTCTTCTCAATTGTGAGGTTTATTGCTGCAGAAAGGGGAAGCTGCATGGGCCCAAGGTATCTTCTGCCCCAAGTGGAGAGGCCTGTGAACCAAAAAACTGCAGAAGTGCTGCTCCATAAGTGGAGAGAAAAAAAGGAGGGCTGGCCTATGTTCCAAAAGTGGTAGTCTTTCACCAACACAGAGAAGGACAGAAGGTACCTGAGGGCATTACCAGCATGACGCAGGGATTCAGACTTTCCAGGTTCAATCCTGCAGTTTTCTTTTTTCTCTACTTCCATCTGTCTCCCTTCCTCTCTGAGAAAGTCTTTCTGATTTGTTTTAAAGCACTGGCCAAATCAGCAAAAATTTAGACTGCAGGAAACCCTACAGATGAAAGACTCCCTGTCTCCAATGAATAAATTGCAAGGAAAAGAACAAGGAAATGGAGGGGGAAACTATGCATCAGACAGATTTGACAACCAAAAAACAAACTAACTGTAGTCTATGGACATTATTTGGATCTCAGATCAAAGAAACTTAAATATATATTTATTATATTTATATATATTTAATAATTTATATATTATTATTTTAACATATTTATATATTTAATATTTAATATATTTTATACACTAGCCACAATAATATCATACATGTTTAAAAGAATCCTTATCTCTTAGAAGTACGCAATGAAATTTTTTTATGAATGAAATGATAAGATTTGCTTCAAAATAATACAGAAAGGGGAAGAAAATAGGTAGGATACAGATAAAACAAGACTGGCTATGAGTTGATAATTGTTGAAGCTGGGAGCTCATTGTAATATTCCATCTAGTTTTGTGTGTGTTTGAACTTCTTTATAATCAAAGGTTGTAAATAGGTGTGAGAATATTCCTCCACAAAAACAATCATAATTTATTGAAAAATAAGAGCGGAAACTGTGTGCCCTGCTTCTTCAGTTTTACTATAGAAACAAAGTTGAAATAGAAAAGAAAAATGGGTATTTACCAGAAGTTAATTTAAATAATAGAATCCTTCATTAAGGCTTAGAACATTAGATTTTCTACTACAATAATCTAACTTTGATGGATACTGCTGTAGCCCTTTAAATTAATTTCTATCTTATATTAAAATTTTAACGACTAAGCATTTGGTTTAGTTGCAAATTAGTAGAAGTACAGATTTAAATAGTATGTTTCTATTTTTACATATTTTACACATACCGATAAATTAGTATAACTATCACATCACCAAGATACATCTTAAAGTATTAATGAATGAATATATTTATACATGTGAAAATGTTCAGCCTGACTTTGCTTTAGTGAAGTTTAAAAAATTTTCAACTACATGAAAGAATTCTGTCTCAATATATACTTACATGTGAGTAAACTAGTTGTCGAGTTAATTACATAAATACAAAAAATGTTTACAAAGTCCCAAAATATTTACTGAAATTAACCAGTAAGTTCAAAATAATTTTCAGGCATATCTGTGGACGTGTGATATTATCTAAATATGGGTAAATGGTAAGCAGATTTTTTTAAAACAATTTATAAAGGCCCAATAAGCAACACAGTCCTAATAACACCAAGAGGGCTGCTACCAACGAAGAAAGTGGGGAGGGGGACGCCTCTTCTGGAAGGTGGCGGTGATTGGGTACATCTCCGGGGTCCAGCTTAAGTGAGCTGAGAACCTCGAAGTTTAGCTTATTTTTACGACTTGAGTTTAGTTAGGGATGTCAAGGCTGGTTTTTCCAATTTTTCTACAGTACCAATCTTGGTTTAAATCACTTATAAAGTCTTCTCTTTGAGGATTAAAACAACCACCACCACAACAACCATAATGATGATGCAAATCCTGCCCAAATATTACATCCCTTCTTGCCTATGCCTGGCTCTTGCTTGACGGAGGTGACAGGGTCTTCGCCCCTTCGCTCAGGTGGCCGTACTGCTGGAGGCATCCCGCACAACCTCCTCTTGAGCAAAGCCCCCGGCCTATGTTTCTTTGGGGGTCTCGTCCCCCTTTTCCCTTCTTTTTGGCACAGGGAGCGCCATGCATGGCTCGCGTTAGGATTGAGCTCATTTCACCGAAGACATTGCATCTCCAGGGCAACCGAGAGCAAACAGGCGGTCAAGATGGGCCGAGCTGCACCGAGGACCACCCCCAAGACCGCGCCCCTCACCTGCCCGCCGCCGGGGTCGCTCCGCACCCGCGTGTCGAGCGCGTCGTGCCCAGTTTCGTCTTCGCCGCCCGAGCGGTAGAGGAGCCGGAGTGGCACGATGCTCTGGCGCTCCAGGAAGCGGTTTTCGTTCCTCCTTTCCAGCTCCGTCAACGAGGCGTCTCCTCCAGGCAGGAAGGGGTCAAGGAGGGAGAGGGGAGAAAAGGCGAATATAAGGACCCCGACCCACACTCGTCAGTCCTGCGGTCCGACGTCTCCTCTATGAAAATCCCACCGCCCCCTCCCTCCTGGACCCCATCTGGGAAGGACGCAGACACACCAGCCCAAGAGCCTTGGACCAGCTCATCTGAGAGCATCCAGGATCGGGGCCCAGCAGCAGAGCACCCCTTTTCTCTTCTCCGTATTCCTCTTTTTCAGAAGAAACAAAACCCAGGCATTCGACCAAAGGTTCCTAAGGATTCCGCGCGCCCCCACGCATGTATTTTTGCTTCACTTCTCACCGCGCTTGTAGATAAAAAAAAAATCTCCCCGCGCACTGGGGAAATGGGGATGCCCCTTTTCAATGCTCTCGAGGGCTGCAAAGATTCCCGGGAAATGGTACGTCCCGAAGCCAGAGAGGGTGGCGAACTTACCTGCCCGGCCGCAGCGCGCCGGGGGGCAGCTCCCCAGGGCGCAGAGCAGCAAGAAGGGCACGGACGCAGCCGCCGCCGCCCGCATGGTGCTCCGGTCAAGCGCCTCGCTGGAGACGCTCACCTCCTCGGGCGCCGGCAGCCGGCTCCGGCTCCCTCGCCCCGCGCCCCGCGCCCCGCGCTCGCCTCGGCCGCCCCCCCGAGCCCCGGCCGGTGCTGCAGCGGCCCTGGCGCTGCAGCCTCCGCCGCGGCGCTGCCTCAGTGCTGCATTGTGCTCCGCGGGCGCTTCCGCTGGCGGGGGGAGCGAGCGAGTGCTGCATTGGGCGGTTGGCTGTAGCTAAGTGGTTTCTAGCGCCTCCCACCTCATCCCCTGGCGGAGGCTCTGGCGGGCGACGAGCGCTCGGCAGGGAGCGAGCGCCTGGTGCACTCGCCCCCTCGCGCGGGCAGGGGCGCGCGCAGGAGGGTCCGCTGGGAAATGTAGTTCTCTCTCCGCGTCCCGCTCGACTCCACGACGGCGCGGACTGTCGCGACCTCGTGACTGTGAGGTCCTCTGCAGCATGAAGACTGGAGAGAGGAAAAGGGCGAAAGAAAGAGAGGTCATCGCTGGCACACCTCCTGGCATCGAAGATAGCCAACTGCGCCGCTGCGGGAGCCGGTGTTCGCCCACTTCATCCGCAAAGATCTGTAATACTAATATTTCCCACAAATTTTGTAGTTACTTAAATTATTGTCAGGGAATCATACCCTCAAGAGTGCATGGTAAGTTAATTATTCAACAGATATTGATGAGGACCTACTGTGTGCCCGGTGGTGACTAAGTGCAGGGGACACAGCCGTGCACTACAGAAGCGTAAGAGGCACCTGCTTGCCGATACAGTTGAGTAAACACCGTTGTTTTGTTTTGTTTTGTTTTGTTTTACAATACAGTGTGGAAAATGTCCTGGTAATGCCTAGAGGAGGGTCACTAACCCAGCCACGGGGAAGTCAAGGGAGAACCTGCTGTAGAAGGTCTACGCAGACGCTTGAATGTCGCCCAACTCCCCAGGATCTTTCTGTTCTTTCTCTAATGTCTGCCTGCCTCAAACCTGCGTTTGAAACCAGACTTGGGGATCTCTGCTTTCTCAGGCTGCTTATTCCATTCTTCTCTAATTCCAAATGGTAGAAATTCTTGAGGATAAGACAATAATAAAATAATTATCAACAAAATTAACACGTGTGATACAGTACAGTTTTTCAGAGGTCACATGTATTGTCAGTTGAACCTTAGGTCAACAATTTGGTAAGTATTATTCCCATTTAAGAGAGGAGGAAATTAAAGCTTAGAACTGCACCTTTCAAATACTGTGGCCACTAACAACATGTAACTATTTAAATTTAAATTTCTTAAAATTAAATAAAATTTGAAATTCAGTTCCCAAGTCACACTAGCCACATTTCGAGTGCTAAATAAGCTATCTGCAGTTAGTGGCTATTGTATTGTACAGCAAAAATATAGAACATTTCCATCATTGCAGGAAGTTCTATTGGACAGCACTGGCTTTGAGAATTTAAATGACTTTCCTCAAGGTCGCATGACTAGTTATAAAAGACTGGATCTCCTGCTTTCAGATCTGTCTTTTCCTACAGCTCCCTGGTCGAACCTGCGTTTGTGTAATCTCCATCCTGGTTCTGGTCCTGTAAAACATGCAAAAGAATCTTCCACATGGTGCTCTTTGAAGATGTTTTTTTTCTTTCCCTGGGGGAAATTTTTTTTTACCCCTGCCACATGTGACGTGTTTCAGGTTCTCTCCCTGTTGTGATTTGAAAATAAGCTCCAGTGAGTCAATGTCCCAGCTGAAGTGTCGCATCCAGAATTAAATACAACCTAGACATGATTTCACAAGCAAAGAGTAGAGAGGGACTCTTCTGTCCCTTGTCCTAAATTCTTGCCCAAGAGACCATTATATCATATTTTGGTAGCCACATCTCACTGAGCTTACTATCATTTCAAAAAAATTCCCCCAAATCTTCAAATATTGAGACACTTAAGAATGCTATATATGACATGCTATTGTAGCCTGAATAAGGGCTACAAGTTTTCAATAGCACACTTTTAATCTTGATGCGGGAGATTCCATAATGGTTACAGTGAAAGAGAATCAGAACCCAAGGGCCTGGAAAAGCCCTTTACCTTCATCCCCTACATCATGGACCCAAATTCTTACCCAATTCTCTTAGTTGGAAGAATTAATTTTACAGGTTTTGTGAATATTGTACTGCTGTAAGTAGACTCCATAATTTTTCTATTTAAACATCTTTTGCTGACATAAGCAATACCTCCCTGTGTGTGTGTTGTGAGCATTTTTCTAAGGTAGATAGCAGAATGAGGAATTGCTTGATTTATAGAGTTTGCACACTTTTTAATGTAATAGATACATCCTTTAAACCACTCCATCTCCTTGGCACACAATAGACCTCCTGAGAGGGAAGGTAGTGAGAACATACCCGTGGCTCTGAGCTACACTGTTTCTCCAAGGTATGGGGCTGGGGGCTGGGGAGAGTAAGCCTGTCAGTGGCATTTCAGAGCAAAGCATCTCATCCTATCAGGACAGAAACTCCTTCGAATTTCTGTGAAGTAGTGTGCTTCTGGCCACATCTTGCCTATTTCATGCATATATCTATATAATTTGTGGGGGTTTTGTTGTTGTTTTTCATTTGATTCCCACCATCTAGTTAATTAACACGTCCATCACCTCACACCTCACTGATTTATCCTTTTTTTTTGGTGAGAACATTTAAGTTCTACTCTCAGCAAATTTTAATTAATTTAATTACAGTGTTATGAACTATAGTCACCATGTTTTACAATAGATTCTCAGACCTTATTCATCTTATAGCTGAAAGTTTGTAGCCTTTCACTAACCACTCCCAATTTCCCCCACCCCCCAGCCCCTGGCAACCACTTTTCTACTCTGTGTTTCTATGAGTTTGACTTTTTATTTTTTTTAGATTCCACATGTAAGTGATACCATGCACTATTTGTCTTTCTCTGTCTGGCTTATTTCACTTTGCATAATGCCCTCAAGATTGTTGCAATTGGCAGGATTTCCTTCTTTCTCATGACTGAATAATATCCTATTATATATATATATGGGGGGTGTATATACATATATACCGCACATATATACCACATCTTCTCTATCCATGCATCCATTGATGGGCATTTAGCTTGTTTTCAAATCTTGGCTATTGTGAATAATGCTGCAGTGAACATGGGGATGCAGCATTTGTGGGGGGATGCTCCCGCCCCCAGCCCCACCACTCTTAATACCAAGAGTTAGGAGTTAGAGAGTTGGGGAGAAACTGAAGCTGTGGTTTTTGGCCCCCTGAGGCTAACCCTGATCTGTAGGGCTACCTGCACTTCCAGATTCTGGATTCACAGACCAAGTACACGCCCATTCTTATGTCTCCATCAAAGCCCCAAACGGCATTCTCAGTACTTGTTTGTTTTTGTACATTTATTAGAAAGGACTATAAAATAGCCACTTAGGCAACTTACCTCTCCAGTATGCAAATATAAATAAGTTGTAATATAGAAATCTTTTCTTTTAATATAAGAATGAGCCTGTCCAATTTATGCTGTACATTATTAAAGTTTTATTCACAGAGCTTAAAAAACTGTTTATCTTCTTTGGAAAAGCATCTATTTAGTTCCTCTGCTGATTTTTTAATCAGATTGCTTGGTGGGGGGGGGGGGGTGCTATTAAGTTGTATGAGTTCTTTATGTATTTTGGATATTAACCCCTTATCAGATTTGCAAATATCTTCTCCCATTCCGTAAGTTGCTTGTTCATTTTGTTGGTTTCCTTTGCTTTGCAGAAACTTTTCAGTTTGATGTAATCCCACTTGTTTACTTTCACTTTTGTTGCCTTTGCTTTTGGTACCAAATCCAAAAAATTATTACCAAGACTGATATCAAGGAAATTACCCGCTTTGTTTTCTTGTTTCAGGTCTTATGTTCAAGTTTTACAAGTTTCAGGTTTCCGTTTTATGGGTTCAGGTCTTATGTTTAAGTCTTTAATCCATTTTGAGTTGATTTCTGTGTATGGTATAAGATAGGGGTCCAAATTCATCTTTTGCATATGGTTGTCCAGTTTTCCCAGCACTATTTATTGAAGAAACTATCCTTTCCCTATTGCAGATTCTTGGCTCCTTTGTCATAAGATAATTGACTATATATGCATGAGTTTATTTCTGGGCTCTCTATTCTGTTCCAATGATCTATATTTGCGTTTTTATGCCAATACCATACTGTTTTGATCACTATCACTTTGTAATATTGTTTGAAATCAAGGCACTTGATGCCTTCAGCTTTGTTCTTCTTTCTCATGATTGCTTTGGCTATTTGGGGTCCTTTGTGGTTACATACAAATTATAGGATTGTTTCTTCTATTTCTGTGAAAAATGCCATTGGAATTTTGATAGAGATTGCATTGAATCTGTAGATCTCTTTGGGTAGTATGGACATTTTAACAATATTAATTCTTCCAATCCATGAGCATGGAATATCTTTTCATTTATTTATGTCTTCTTGAATTTCTTTCATCGACGTCTTACAGTTTTCAGTGTATCGGTCTTTCACCTCCTTGGTTAAATTTATTCCTAGGAATTTTTTTTGATAGATTTGTAGCTGGGTTATTTTCTTAATTTCTCATTCTAATAGTTCATTGTTGGTGTGTAGAAACACAACTGATTTTTGCATATTGATTTTGTGTCCTGCAACTTTGCTGAATTTGCTTACTAGTTTGAATAGGTTTTTTGGTAGTTTTTAGGGTTTTCTATTCATAATATCATGTCATCTGCAGATAGAGAGTTTTACTTCTTCCTTTCTGATTTGCATGCCTTTTATTCTTTTCCTTGCCTAATTTCTCTGGCTAGGATTTCCAGTACTATGCTGAATAAAAAATGGTGAGAGTGGGCATCCTTGTCTTGTTAAAGATCTTAGAGGAAAAGCTTTCAGCTTTTGACCATTGAATGTGATGTTAGCTGCGATCTTGTCATATATGGCTTGTATTATGTTGAAGTACATTCTCTCTGTATTCAGCCTATTGAGAGCTTTTTTCATGAATGGATATTGAATTCTGTCAAATGCTTTTTCTGCGTCTTTCGAGATGATCATATGATTTTTATCCCTCATCTTGTTGATGTGGTGTTATCACATTAGTCTCCTTTGAATCTCTTTGAAGTAGTGTGCTTCTGGCTACATCTTGCCTATTTCATATATATATATATATATATATATATATATATATATATATATATATACAAAATATATATTTTTTAATGAAACCCATCACATATACAGAAGCCAGGTACATACAATTATGATAATAATTGGCAAACTTGAAGAGGCAGCCAGAGGAGGCCTGATCCTCAGAGTTGTGGAGTTGGTTAATAGAACACAGTTTCCTTAGGAGAAAAATGGTTGAACAACCAACAAGAGAATTACTCAATATGTACCATTAAAATAAATCAGTCTCGAGAGGCTGAGGGCAGTTACTCCAACAAAAAGTCATGATCTCTTGTTCTGCTTCCAGACTTTAGTCAGTTTTTCAACCCAGAAATCATTGACTGAAGAAAAGGCCATGTCCCCAGGAGAGGGACCCTGCAACACATGTAAGTACACATGGTAATGCTTCCTCTAGTCCTTCCCCAAAGGGACCTACCTCCATTTACTACTGTAA